AGGCTTTTGTGGTGTGCTTTGGCTTAAATTTTAATATTTTTTAAATTAAATTAATTTAATTAGTTAATAAAATTTTTAAATCAATCTAATTTATTATGTAACAACTAAACCAATTTAATTTAAATCGGATCAGGCGGTTTTGTTGGATTGATTAGTTTTTAATACTATTAAATATATAAGATAATATAAAAAATTTTAACATTAAGTGGACAATATAACTATAAAGGCATTAATATCCAAATCAGTAGAAACAAAATAAAAAGCACAAATTATAAATAAATTCTTATACTCCTTTGTAATTGTAAAGATTTAAAAGATTTAAAAATTTTTCTTGGTTACAACAGTAAAAGCACCAAGAATAATGAAAGAAAACTTCAAGTTTTAAAAACAATGTAAATAATTCATAAATGTTAAAATTAGTTTTTTTTACTTAATGCACTAATAATTCAATCTTCTCTGTCAAATCCTTTTAAAAGTGAATAAAATTTAATATGGATATCACTAGAATTGATTAGAAACATTCATAATCAAAATTTAAAACTTTTCAACTAAACATTGAAAAATAGTAGAATATTAAGACTAATTTTATTATATAGTTTTAAAATTTCTAGAATGATATTTTTTTTAAAACTTAGTTAGAAGAATTATAATATTATTTTAGAAAAAAATTAAAAAATCTAAGTCTTAAGAGTAAAGGCACAAACCAATTTTGAGGGATAAAATTACAGGTGAATTAAAAATTAAAAATTAGAATTAGAGTGTACGATTAAAAAGGAAAAATAAATTAGGGAGTATGAAGTTATTTTATTTTTATTTTTGAATTAAATTAATAGAGTTATTATATCGTAAAACGAAATTTTTTTTTATAATACTACAAAAATATATGATATTATTTAATTAAATTATTTTATAATTAAATTTTATTTTGTAATAGAATGGTTTAAGTGGTTTGAAAATAAAATTACAAATCAAATTAATTATATTAATTTTAAAATTTTATAATTTAAACCAATTTAATTTTATATCAATTTGATTTAATTTTTAATTAAATTGAATCAATTTCAATCAAATTAATTAGATTGAATTGCACAGGAACACCTCTAACTTGTATTTGTAGGTGGCTTTGCGGGTTGTATAATTGGACATTGGACTCGGACTTGGACTTGATTGGCATTCTACGCTTCACGAACACACACTCAGCACAATTGGTTGGGCCTTCATGTGCATAAGTCACTACATGGTATAAGCAAGGTTTCACAATCCAGGTTTAAGGGATGAGTAACCTTTCAAAGGTATCATGACTCTTTAGGATAATTTGTAATTTATTAGAAAAAAAACTATTGTGTGGGTCGGATTGTACACCAAAAATTGTTTGACGATATAGTTGTTCCTTTTTTGCATAATATTTCACGTTTTCTTGGATATATTTTTTTAATTGTTAGCTATCCTCTCTGCATATAATAAAAATGATTAATTTTAGAAGATATAACTATTATTTTTATGTTCATAAAAAAACTATTATTTTTATTTTGATGTGGCACTAAATTGTAAAATTGAGATACTAAAATTGGATGAAATAATTGTTTGTTTTTATTTCTTTATTTCAAAATAAGTGTTATTTAAAAAATTTTTTAATTAAAGATTTGAAATAATTCATATATTTATTTATATTATCTTTTAAAAAAATTAAAAGTAAAATAAAATTTTTTATAATAAAATAATTAATCAAATAAATAAATAAATAATAAGATTAAATTAATAAAAAATATTTATTTATTTTAAAAACTAAAAATTAATAATTAATTTAAAATAAATTTAAAATTAAAAAAAAATAATTATTTTGATAAAAAAAGAGTATTTATAAAAGAATATCTAGGTAAAGAGTTTTGCCCATCTTGGACAGACATCCATTGGGATGTGATCTCGCCCGTCCAGATAGCCTAGACTAGAAATGGCCTTTTGTTTTTTTGTTTTTGTTTTTTTTTTTTTTTGGGTAAATAACTAAAAATGGCTTTAATAAGTAAGGAGCAGTAATACGCACAGTGAAATTTTAAAATTAATGATGAGTTTTTTTTGTTTTTTCTTTTTTTGAACATTAGGAATTTAGGGGAGGAGGAATTAGAACTAAAGTCATGACTTGGAATATATGCACTCTATTTAGTGCATCAAGTACTATGGGTGCAAAATTAATGATGAGTTATAAAT